TTTGTAAGCACAAGGCTTCATTTAAACAAAGTCATAATAGCTATTCACTTACACTACCACCAGTTCTTAATTGGATAGATATCTAGTTCGTATTGTTGTACTAGCTCAAGGACAGTCATTCACTTGAAAATTGTTCAGCTGTGAATGCATTTCTTCTTGTTCCATGAGCATACTTTATCTATTTTAGCGACAGGGACGAAAGGCTGCAGAGGAAAATGACTATTTTAAATTCATTACTTGATTCAGACTATATCAGTCAGTTTTTCAAAAACACGCTCTTTGTGCTGCAAGACGACAATGTTTTTCAGTTCAGTTTTTTGTTCTTCACAAAAGAACAGGAAGTCTGATAGAGCTGCTTTTAAAATCCTAGCTAATGACATACTCACATGTAAAGTCCATCTACCATGATGAGAGCAGTATTTTTCAATAGAAATCAACACTTCAGACTTTTTATAAAGTTGTGTCAACTACACCAAGCCATCATTAAAAGTAGTCACTAGCGAATCTGAAACTTACTGTGTGTAAACTGACATATGGATCTTGGAAACTACTGTACAGGTTTAAAAGCTGTGGCTGAGAGTTTGAGGAGTGGTTGGAAAGAAAAGAAGAAATGGAAAGGAAGGTAAGATCAAGAGTACGAAAGGTGTTAATGCATTAGTCTTTTACCTCTGGAGCTACAGATGGGTGCAAATGCACTTACCAATAGGTCACAGTTTTATGGGCACATATTAACTCCCAGTTACAAAGCTACCCAGAACTGACAATGCCTGCTCAAGTGAGGCCTGCGACTAAAAGTGCAGAAGGGCTGCAGGTCAGAGCGTGCCTAGACAAATTGGCAGCACTGGGTGAAGAAGATGGCACAGTGCTATGTCTGGCATGAGCAGGCATAAGTGCAAGTATTACTTTAAATGTTAACTTCATTGATAAAATCTATAGTCTGTTTAGAATGACGTCTAACAAACGATGATAAAATAACACTAGGATTGCAAAGTCAAGAATCCAGAAGTTAGGAGATGGCAGTTCAGCTCCCTTGTGCATATGCATTATGACAGTCTTTCATTATATGCCCACATACTATTTTTTCCAACAGGACCCATGCCTTATTCAGTGCACAAAATAAGCAGCTGTTCAATATTTTGTTTGCTCGCCACTGTTCAATTTTAGGTCTTATTTACTGTACACCATCCAAACCCTACTTGGGAGGCAGAATTATTTGCTTCCTCATGGACTTTTCTGTAGCACTCATCACTACAGTATCTAAGGGCTTTACAAATATTAATGAATTTATTTTCACAGCACCCCTGTGAGGCGAGGTGGTATAACTATCCCCATTTTACAGATCGGGAACTCAGGCACAGAGTGATTAAGGCTGAATGTGTCCACTAATTTTGGATGCCCACTTTGAGATGCTTAGGACCTGATTTTTCATAGTAATTAGCATTAGCATTTCATAGCACTTCAGTTGCAGCTGTAAATGCTTAACACTTCTGCAAATCAGACCCCGGGGTATCAAGCCAGGCACCCACAAAATAACAAACACATAATTAGTGGCCACCTATGAAAAGTTTGATTTTAAGTGACTTGCCCAGCATCACATAGGAAGTCTGTGTCAGAGGCAAGGACAGATTCAGATTCTCCAGGGCAACAAAATTCCACCGCTTCAACCACGAGACCATCCTTTCTCCTTCTCTTTTCAACTTCTGCAAGAAATGAGGCAGCCATCCTACAAATAAACAGCCTCTCACTATACAATCTAGAGCATTCCCAGAGCAGGTCCATCCTATGCACTCAATGAGGTACGGTGCTGTGGAAAAAATAGTATTTAATAATATGATCACACTATGATAATAGGGCCAAATGAAGGCTGCACAGACACAAAGGTTGCACTAGGAAAAATTCACTCGGTGATAGATACAGAATATCAAAAATTTCAGCCCAAATGTTTAAATTTTAGCAAAGCTGTAAGCAACTAAATACAGGCTCCCACAGTGGGAAGTGTCGGGCAATCCTAACTTTAGGCAGCACCACCAGCTTTGCCTATAACACAAGCTCTCTCTCAGAGAGAGTGTCATCTTTTGTGTTTTGTACAAAATCAAGTACACCGACGGCTCTCAATAAAAACATACTGATAGGAACAAATGAGTTGTCATACTGGATTAGTTCTGTCTCCTAAGCTTCTAGTAGACGCAACTATGAAGTGCTAGGGGATAGATTTGTTATAACAAAACACACAATACACATTTCACCACCTAATTTGAATGCCTACGTTTACAAACATTGTCACTTTTGTATTTGGACCAAGGGCTTAAACAAATAAAAAGAAAAAGACGAACAAACGTGCAAAACTACTTATTTGATCAAATTAAGAGCTTAGGGTTCTCAAGATGTCTGCTTTATTCATAATAGCCTCGCTTCCAGAAGAACACAGCCTGCAGAAAAGTCATCAGGAAAAGTAAAGTTGACAAACATTAACAATTAAGAAAGTTGTTAAGGTTCCCAGAGGGAGGGATAAGGTATCTATAGTAGAAGGCACAAAAGGAAGCTGGCCTTAGAGAGAAAAAAAACTGCTTTTGGAAGAGGAGAAGATACAGTCACAACCTAAATACAAATGGATGATACTAGCTAGTGACAAAATGAAACTTTAAAAGTACGTCCTAATAGAAAATTAGAGATTATGGAATTTTCATGACCAAAATAAATCCTTTTTCATACAGCAATGTAGGGCTTGCCATTCAAAGGTTTCAAGGCTTTAATCATGACCTGCAGACATGACTGACAAAGGTTCATGCCTTGAAATACTACATCTACAGAAGCCGTGTTCTGGGAAGAACAGTCTTTTTGAAGGATTTGCCCTGTCTTCTGAAATAGAAAAATCTAGCCAAGAGGGGTCCAAGAAAGGGATACTTACAGATGCTAGATAGCTGAAAACCATAAATGTAACAAAGAGGCTAAGTTGAAAAGTACTATAAAAATAAGAAGAAAAAAGGAGGGACCTGACCTCAATTGGAGAATTTTGACAGCATTTTCCAAGAGGTTGCATGATCCTACCTATTGTGGATTGGTATGGTGGCATTTGGAAGTGAAAGGCAGCAAGTAAGCCTAGAAAGAACAGAGTACCTAAAATGTATGAGCAGGTCTCCCACAAGTTGAGTACAAATGTCAATCCTTCCAATTCAAGGAGGAAAGAATAATTCTGAAATTCTCTTCTTTATCAACAGAGTCAATGTTCTAGGATCAAGTAGTATGGGCCACCTGATTTTGTTGGGATAAGTAAGTATCAATTGTATTTAGTATTAACAGCGGCCCAATTTCAATTGGGAGCAACAGGTTTTTGCTCAAGAACAAAGAAGGGTCTGTCTTACTGCAACACAATTTAGTGAGAAGGTTCCCAGCAAAAGACGTCCTCATTTGTCCATTCCATCCACCCATTGCATTGTCAGACATGTAGACTGTGGACTCTCTGTGGCTGGCCCTGTTTGTCACCCAACTGCACAGAGCCTGGCACAATGGGGCCATAATCCTACTACTGAAGTTGTTGGTACTACTATAATATCAAATTAGTGTCACCAACCCTCGGTGCACTCAGCCACCACTTGCTATAATAAATTATAAGTAGCCCCTTGTTCACAGAACATAATCTCTATAAACTCTAAATACCCTGCCTGGTTGTGATTTTTAAACACGCACTGTCTTCCAATATGTTCAGGCTTTAGTTGGAATCCTATAGCTCCAAAGCAGAGAATAGCTTAAAATTAACAGATACAGTATTCAGAGATGGTCAAGAATGGAGTAAGAAGAAAATGGTTATAGAAAGTTACTATTTTACAATAGATTCACTCTGGAATTGTCAAATAAGAGCCCAAGGGAATTGTATACCCAATTCCCAGTGAAAGTCAATGGAAGTTAAGTGCCTAACACCCATGGGCCCTTTTGAAAATCCAAGTCTCCGTAATTCAGAAAAACTAAAGATGCATTAACTGACATATTGACTGATTCAAATACTGCCCTTTAATTCTTGTGAGTTTCTCTTCTTACCAAAGAGATTAATTAGTTGATTATAGGTTAAAACACCCCTTCTTACACATGCTAAAGGGCTGGCCTTAATCCTCAATTACATCCACGTATTGGATCATTTCTCTTTTCAGTGGATTTCCAAATCACTACAAACATTTCTTGCTTAAAGAAGTTTTTTTTTGCAGTTTGATAAAGAAACTTATGAAGTCCCCTTGTACAACTACCCCAAAGTGGGCTCCCTGTTAATGTTAAATACTTTATTTTCCCTTATTCTAGCATAAAACAGGACAAAAGAAAGAATCATATGAAGGGTCACTAAACAAAACCAACGTATCAGTAGTTGGAAAGGTCCATTCTTTTAATATCTTCAGTGATCCCCCAAGGACTTCAGAGATTAAAAAATAAAATGTGAAGAAGATATAAGGTCCATTAAATAAAAATGGGGATTATCTATCTTTTCTACTGACAGGCTAACAGGATCTGAAACTAGACTGACCAAATATAGAAAAGGCGAACTTGGTAAATTGTGATTACACAGTCCATTGTATTTATTGGTGTGAGAAGCTGTTGCATGTGTTTGGACTTTGATGATTATATTGGAAACCATAAGCCACAGTTTTGTGTGTGCGTGGTTTTTTGCAATAAGCTCCTGAACATCATCATAACAAGTAAAGTGGAACACTTTGAGATATTTGTCATGCCATGGAAAACAGGCCAGGAGCAACAGAAGAATCAGTAATCTTCAGTAAAAGAAGAATACTGCAACTCTCCTCTTCCATAGTACATTCCACTTATGATTTTGATGAAAACCGCGAGACAGTTTTATAACATCACCACCTCATGTTTTAGAGCACCACTCTACCATTCAGATAGGAGAACATTCAAAATTAAAAACTGTAATTAATTAATTAAAAACGTTTCAAAGTCTGTTTGCTCAGTTCACTTTTCACTGCAAGGCAAAAGTAGCTAACTGAAAAAAACCATACCTGTGGCCTCATTCTTGGATTCCATCTGACGTAGTAATTTACCCACAGTTCCAAATGGTTCAGACTGGCAACAGGATACAGGACGTGGTTTTCATAGTTTACATAGAAAGGATTAGTAAATTCATCTAGTTGACTGTTAATGTAGGACCATAAAGATACAGTCTTTGTATTTATCTCCTGAATAAATAAAAAGAATGGTATTTTAGTATACAGTAGAACCTCAGAGTTACAAACACCTTGGGAATGGAGGTTGTTCGTAACTCTGAAATATTTGTAATTCTGAATAAAATGTTATGATGATTTTTTCAAAAGTTTACAACCAAACTGACTTAATACAGCTTTGAAGCTTTACTATGCAGAAGAAAAATGCTGCTTTCCCTTCATTTTTTTTAGTAGTTTATGTTGAACACAGTAACTGTACTATATGTGCTTTCTTTTCCCCTTTGTCTCTTCTGCTGTCTGATTGTGTACTTCCGGTTCTAAATGAGGTGTCCGGTTGACTGGTCGGTTAGTAACTCTGAGGTTCTAATGTATGTAATTCAAAATCTTTACATTTTAGCATAGTAATGTTCTTTTGCTCCAAGAACTATTTGATACACAATATTTATTTAAAGACACATTACTTTAATTTGTTGAGATTTAGCAGCCCTGAAATACCATTTCCTTCTGTTATCCTTGGGGGAAAGTTTTTCCAAGAAGCCAGACCAGTTACTGCACTAACTGGGCAGGGAAGCTAGTGGCAACTTTATTTACTACAATACAGCAAGTGCTCAAAAAGTTTCCAATATCCATGTCACCGACAGGGGGAGTGATAGCTCAGTGGTTTGAGCATTGGCCTGCTAAACCCAGGGTTGTGAGTTCAATCCTTGAGGGGGCCACTTAGGGATCTGGGGCAAAATCAGTACTTGGTCCTGCTAGTGAAGGCAGGGAGCTGGACTTGATGAAGGCAGGGAGCTGGACTTTTGGGGTCCCTTCCAGCTCTATGAGATAAATAAATATATGGAGATATACCTATTTAAACAGCTGTAAGACTTAAACATAGTTGCAAGATTTTCATTTCCCCACAAAACTGTTCAGGAGTAGAATGGAGATTCTAGTATATTTGGGGGCTATTTTGCTTTTCGAGCAGATTAGTGTTACACTGCTTATAACCCTGCAGTGGTAACGATAGCTGGTCATATCCATAACAACACACTGACCAACCCAAAATGTGACAAAATTAAATTAGCTAGAAATCAGTGAAGAGAAGAATGTATCCTTTGGAATAACCAGTACAGTATTTGAGGAAAGTGAGTGTCATTTATTTTTTCCACTGTCTGCTTACAGCCATCTAAATAATGCACTTTTAATTAAGTGTCCAGTTTTAGCTTTATATGCACTTTTAAAAAACTATATAATAAAAAAAAAATCACAATAAAACCATAAAATCAAGAATTCAGATTCTGAAACCTTATCAGCTTTATCTTGCAATTTTATACTCCTTCAATACTATAAAGCATCTGTTTCTACTACAGCTGTGTGTTAAATTGCTCTTTTCTGTTCTTTCTTTCTTGTTTTTTTTTAAGGGAGCTGCATCCAATTATCCATTTGTGAAAGAAAGCTGTCTGGTAATCACGTACTTACTGAGAATGTATTATTTAGCTCCATCTTGTGGTGTACACATGCAATTTGTTGTACTAGATAAGCCAGCCGAGCCAGAAAAATACCAAAGCTAAACTGGTGTATGCATGCAATTTGTTGTACTAGATAAGCCAGCCAAGCCAGAAAAATACCAAAGCTAAACACAAACACTAAGGGACGGTTAATTATTTTACTGAAAGCATGAAGTGTGATGGAGAGGAGAAGGCCAACCACAAATGTACATTTTAAGCATAGTAATAATACTTTGAGACTGGATGAAGCATGCTGTAGAAGGTGCAAAGTGCTTCAGAGTGCTAGTGCTAACTTCACTAACATTAAAATATTTTAAATTCTCTCCCATCCTTCAACCTCATGTTCCATCGTCAATAATCAAATCCTGCTTCAAACGATGCCACAGTCTGCAGTGTACTGGTAACGTCACATCAACCATGGAACTCCTTTACAGATGGCCAAGAGAATTTTGGTAAGAAGTGTTTTAGAGGTTTGTGCGTGGGCTGGGACATCATCTGGAACAGCAGTTCATGATCTACAATGAGGTGGAAGGTGTACAGCCTAACATAATTAGAAAAATGTTTTAATTCAACAATGTTGGGGAGTGGCCCTTCATCTGGTTATGGGGATGTTTGGAACATACTTATCTATAACATTAAATTCATTTCCAGGCCAGCTCTAGAGGCTTAGATGACAATAAATTCCACTAAAACACAGGCTCAAATGTTCTTCTGTCTCATACTCTAAGCACCTCTGCATGAAATCATCATGTCAAACAGAAGCAAGTGTAGAACTTACCTCTTTTAATCGCTCTTGTTCACAGTTGTATAAAAAAGTCCCAAAGAGACAACTATAAAGGTGATCCAAAATGGTGATCAGAAACAGTTCATTGAATTCAAAGGCTGCAGGAAACTTTAAAAAAATATATAGATTTTTATGTATTAAAGTTATTTTAAACTTTTATTATCCATAATAAAGAGAAGCAGCCTTATAAATAAGGTAACAACCAAGAAATTCACAAAAAAAAGGATGATTTTTTGGAAAAGTGGGTTTTACATCTATTGACAATTTTAAGAAATGCTAAGCAATTTTGATAATCTCCATTGTACTTGGATAGTGCTTTTCATTGCAAATCTAATGACACTTTACTAATATTCCTAAGTAAGCAAGTATTATATCCATTGTTCTAACAATTGAGACACAAACATGGAGTGATCTGCGAACATTAACAGTGACACCCAGCAACAGGACCAAGAAGCCCTAACTGGCAGTGTCCTGCAAACAATGCATCAAGTTATTTGCTTTGTTATAGAATGCCATCTTAAAACACACCACTTTTGGCATTTAAGAGCTTTATTTACTAAACTAATGTACAATGAATTGAATAGTGAAGATTATTGCATGTACAATGTGTTTAATAGTAAATATGTATTTAAAAATACTTCCTTCTCGTTCCACCCAGTTTACATTGTCCCCTAATTCTCCCCTTGAGTTTATTATCCACTATGTAGAATAATCCTCTAATCCATCTTCCTTTTCATATTAAAATGTAAATCCCTCACATCTGGAAGGAAAGAAATATTATGCCAATACTCACCATTACATACTTTCTTCATAACTAACTAGAGGTTTTAAAGTACCTACGACCATATATATATATATTTTTATATATATATAGTAAAATTACAGAAAGTTGAACAATTATGAAACAAAAATCCAAGACACCTGCAATTTTAAGAGCCCTACAAATTGAAAGAATTAATAAATAAAACTATAAAGGCTGGTACTCATTCAAATGAGAAAGGATTCTCTCAATAATCAGATTAAGTATTCTGTGACTGTCCACAACTGCCCCGTCCATAGGACAAAGTAATTCTGCCCCTAGATAGTATGGGGATGGACTCAAAGAGTTACAGAGAAAGGAAAATACTTTTTAAACAGGAGAAGAAAAGATTTTTTAAAAGAGTGGATTATTCTTCTATGAAAAAAGCAGCGCCTCAATAATGAGAAGTCTTTGCAGAATCTCAGATGGTAGCTTTCTAGATTCATACTGTGCAGGAAACTGAAGTGAGTATTTAAGACATGGAGCAAGCAACATTCCAAGTTTCTTTTCCTTTTTGTTTCAAAGAAAAACATTTTAGAAGGCACAACTATAAACTATCCCGATGCAAAGAAAAGACAGGAAGAATAGTAAGAGGCCAAAATACGGCTCCATCAGGAGCTCTAGAACAACCTGAAAAATCAAAAAGGAACCCTACAAAAAGTGGAAACCTGGGCAAATGACTAAGGAGTACAAAAGAGCAGCACGAGCATGTAGGGACAAAATCAGAAAGGCTAGGGCACAAAATGAGTTACACCTAGCAAGGGCTGTCAAAGGCAATAAGAAGAAGTTCTATAAGTACATTAGGAGCAGGAGAAAGACAAGAAGTAGTGTAGGTCCTCTACTTAGCAGGGAAGGAATGCTAATAACATCAAGGAGGCTGAGTGTTTAATGCCCATTTTGCTTCAGTCTTTACTACAAAGGTGGTGACCAGATACTCAACACAATTAATATTAACAACTAGGGGGAAGGAACGCAAACCAAAATAGGGAAAGAACAAGTTAAAGAATATTTAGATAAGTTAGATATATTCAGGTCAGCAGGGCCTGATGGAATTCATCCTAGGGTATCTAAGGAACTAACTGAACCAATCTTGGAACCGTTAGCAACTACCTTCGAGAATTTATTAAGGATGGATGAGTTCCCAAAGGACTAAAAAGGGCAAATGTAGTACCTGTCTTTAAAAAGGAGACCTGGGTAATTATAGACCAGTCAGCCTAACATTGGTACCTGGAAAGATACTGGAACAAATTATTAAACAATCAGTTTGTAAGCATTTAGAGAATAATAGGATTATAAGGAATAGCCAAAATAGATTTGTCAAGAACAAATCATGCCATACTAACCTAATTTGCTTCTTTGACAGGGTTGGTGGCCTAGTGGATGGGGGAAGCAGTAGAGGTGATATATCTTGATTTTAGTAAGGCTTTCAACAGAGTCACTCAACATTCTCATAAGTAAACTAGAGAAATGGGGCCCAGATTAAATGACTATAAGGTGGGTGCAAAACTGATCGAAAGACCATACTCAAAGAGTAGTTGTCAATAGTTCAGTATCAAACAGGGAGGGCAAATCTAGTGGGGTGTCGCAGGGTCAGCCCTGGGTCTCGTACTATTCAATATTTTCATTAGTGACTTAGATCAGGGGGTGGTAAATGCCTCAATAAGGCTTCTTTAAAATACAGCCAGCTCTCCTGGACTCCTTGCCCCCTCATATTAGCCTCCCAGGGGATCCTGCCCATCAGTTCCCAAAGGGAGTCTAAGTCTGCTTTTCTGAAGTCCAGGGTCCTATGATTTAGATGAGATATTAGGAAAAGCTTTCGAACTAGAAAGGTAATTAAGCTCTGGAATCAGCTTCCAAGAGAGGCTGTGTTGTGTAGAAAATATTGATATAAACTTAAAAAAGCTCAAGTAACCTGGTCTGGAAAAACTGAGGTATGAATAAAATCCACAGGTTCCCCGAACTCACCCAGTCTCCACCTTCCCATAGCAGCAGCGAGACACAGATGAATAAAGATAGCATGCAAAGGTTCAAAGTGAGATATTAGAAACAGCTTTCAAGACAAAGCATCCCCTGAAGGGATTCTCTTTAACTGAAAGCATTTAATGAGCCCTGTCACATAAGGGTTCTAAGCTGTGATGGGTCCATACTAATCAGATGAATACTGACATGGCAGCTAGTAAGATCCAGTGAAGCATATTCAAAATTCCATATGCCAGTGATGGCACTGACACTAATTATTTATAAAGTGATAGTACTATTGAAACCCCATTTCTGGATAGAACCCCCATCTCTGTTGGAAAGCTGATGTACCTAGACTGTAAAGCTTCTATTACTGTTGCTGAAAAATCACTGACCTAAAAATTCTTTCCTCTCAATTTCCAAGCTCATTAGTGTCTGCTTGAGGATTCAGATGGAAAAATTCCCCAAGTGAAAATTTCATTTCCCACCAATCCACTAATTCTGAGAAAATATCCAGTCCATTAGAATCTGTCATCTGGTGCTGTTGGACTTCATTATTTATTTCAGTAAGTGAGCTATGTGAAGAAAGCTACAGAACATTTCTCAATTTAAGGTGACTGATGATGCTCAATTGAAGTTGATTCTGAAGCCCACAAAAGAAGCTTGCTGTTAAATGTTGTGATTAATAGGCCTGCCCTGCACTGCAGTAATATTTTAAGCTGGAACACTCACTCTCCTGGAAGTGGATTGAGACAATCTGCTTGAGCACTGTACATCCCAAGAGAGTACATTGTTAAGATTAATGAAAAGTGCATCTCTGGCTAGAGACAAGCCCTGGTTGTTACCACATAGAGGGACATTATCTTCACACCCACTTGAATGTATTTTACTTATATTTGGGCTGCTGAATATTAGACGTGGCATGATATTACTGGAACTGCAGTGATTCCAAGCAGATTTACAGGCTACCTCATAGTATTAGTTGTTTCATCTCCCTTGAACTACTACCAGGGTTGGCTTTTCTGCCACCCTAAGCGGCCAAAAAAAAAAAAAAAAAAGACAACGCGCGGCGGCACTTCAGCGGCAGCTAAATCACGCAGCTTCTTCGGCGGCGGGTCCTCCCTCTCTTCCTCTTCGGCGGCAATTCGGTGGCAGCTCAAAGAGGAAGAGAGGGAATGAGGGACCCGCCGCCGAATTGCCGAAGACCCAGACGTGCTGCCCCGATACTGGGACGGAGTGCCGCCCCTTTGAATTGGCCGCCCCAAGCACCTGCTTCCTACGCTGGTGCCTGGAGCCGGCCCTGACTACTACAGATTACAGGAGGACTTTACGATTTAAAGTTTGTGTCAGTCATGATTATTAGAATCACTTAAAGCAGCAGTTCTTAACTGGGGGCTGTGAATAGGTTTCAGGGGTTCCGCCAAGCAGGGATGGTGTCAGACTCGCGATGACCCAGGGCTAAAGCCCTGGAGCCCCCATGGGGGCTGGAGTCCAGGAGCTCCACTGACCCATGGAGGCTGGAGCCTCACCTCCCTGCCACCTGGGACTGAAGCCGAAGCCTGAGCAACTGAGCTTTGCAGGGGCCTCTGTGGCGCGGACTCCCCAGTGACATCAGGCCCCGGGCAATTGCCCTGCTTGCTACACCCTAGCACTGGCCCTGGCTTTTATATGCAGAAAAACAGTTTTTGTAGCACAGGTGGGCCATGGAGTTTTTATAGCATGTTGTGTGCGGGGCCTCAGAAAGAAAAAGGTTGAGAACCCCTCACTTAAAGCATATGTTCTTTATTAAGCACCAGCACCATTTATCTCAAGTTCTACATTACTCTATGTGTGTGTCATCAAGGCTAGGAAAACACAGAAAAATGTATAGCTGCTAAGGATTGAGGGTCATTGTTAAGATTCTGGAGCTATTCAGGAATTCATATCTTATTGGAAAATTAGGAATTCTCTCATCTCACCAAAAGTGCATGTTTCAAAAATGTACATGTGCTGCAGTCTGCTAGAACTGAAAAATATGTGAATAAGACCATTTTATGAATGTGTTCATTTTTGCCTTTTACAGCCTTAATATTTTTTCAATGCTGTGGCTGTTCAGGAACTTCAGAACTCAGTCTGGATTCAGATTTTGCACAGATGTAAATTTGCAAATTGTTGCACAGTCCTTTTACTAGAGGAGAACTAAACCGTTTATAGCAAAAAATAGGAGGCAGCAAGGGAGATCACAAAAATAGAGAAGGCTGTTCTGAATTAACTGTCTCCCTGAAGGATTTTTGTTCCTTCCAGATGTTTAGAACTGAGTTTTTTCTGCTGGGTACTTGCTCTAGGCTTTCCTCAGAGGCAGAGACAAAGTTTTAAATGTTTTTCCAGCCATACTGCAATAGCATATAAATACCAAAATATACGTGTATACAAAGAGTGGGAAATTCTCTAGCAGGAAATCTTAATAAAATATTTTATGAAACTTTGATACCAATGAATTTACAAGAAGCCTTTTCAAAAAGATAAGCAGGATTGGAATGGAGGATTTGGGGGACAAGGGACAGGGGAGGAGGGCTCCTGGGATAGAAAGCTCTTAATTCCACCTTATTCTCCTACTACACCCCCCATCATATGTTGCAGAAGGTGGTCTTGCAGGAACAGTTTCTTTGTATTGTTACAGGAGGAAAGAGGCAGATGTCTACTATGCTTCAGGGGTCAAACGTTTTAAAGTTACTTGGAAGCAAGGCCTTAGTTTGGACAACTTGATTTAGCAGCTCCAGTCAAGCCCAGTGTATAGAAGAATGGAAGATCCTACAAGAAATTCTAATCTATATTGAAGTTTATTTCCCGTGGAAGTGTAAGTAAGAGGAAAACTAGGTCTGTGATGGGTCTTCAAGATAATGCACCTGTAAAATTTTGTTAGGACCGTAACATTATGATATCCCCAAAACTACCCCCTTCAAAAAGGATCTTCTCCCAATTGTGATGTAAAGCTAGTGGTGGAAGGAGGAAAGCATATTTGAGCAGGTAAATATTGGAGCATATGTAAATTAGGAAATATTATTACACACATTTGAACTATGCAAGCATGTTTTTGAGACAACTAGAAAAGTAGGTCCTCCCTGATTCACAATTAGATTGTATTTGTGCCATTTTTAAAATACAGATAATCTCTTGTGAATATACACTGACTGCACTGGTGAAACAGAAACAAAGGTACTTTGCCCTATTACTTCTCACTCATTTAATCAAAGAATTCTGAGAAAGAGAGATTCTAGAAGAAAATCTACTTTCACTGAACTGTCAGGGTAGGCCACTGTGCATATTTATTTATTTATTTATTTAAAGAAAATCTAACTTTTGAATTTGCCGTCACTGCTTATTTTAGTTATGTTAAAAACAGCTGGGTAAAAAGCCATTTGACTCTATATTAGTTTTCACTTTAACCAAAATTTACAGAATTACATCTCTGCTTACTAATAAACTGAAAGCT